AGCGGCGCGATGCTGATTCGGAGCGACGCAGGGGGGCCTTCGGCGACGCGGGTCTCCCCCCATCGATCGCGAAGCGCGGTCGCGGCATCTAGAGTTACTTGGGCATCAGGGGGACATGCAGGGGGGGGAGCTATATTGGGATGAGTGGTGGTCAGACCGAGACGATTCACCAGCCCCGCCGACTCCGGCGGCAGACGAGAATGAGATCTTGGAACTTGTTGGCGAAGATTTTCCCTGCATCCAGAAATGCGTTCGGCGCGCCCTTAGATGACGGGCCGCCCCCGCGCTGCGCCGTTGGAGCCGCGGGATCTACTCCAGAATCCTAAGCGTGGCATCGCAGAGGCAGCCGAAGGTTCAGGCATGGGATACGAGGAGGAGATGCCCGATTCGAAGACAATGGAGGGGTTGTTGCACTTCGGGTTCTCTCAGATCCGACGGTTTCAGCTGACCCCCATGCGCTGGCATTGCTCTAGAGGGGCGGGGCTGCCAAAAACTTCTGGCCCAGGCCCGCGAGGTCGTGGACTTATACGCACCCGCCAATCGATAGGCAAGGCACATTATGCGAGGCGACTCGCTCGCCGCTTGCCCGATCGAGATCGCGTCTTCGCCCGACGCAGACGTCGAGAAGACGCGATCGGGCGGAGCTACCAGCGGCGCGTCTCGCGGAGGCGGAGCGGCGTTCCCGCGCGATTGACATGGGCGCTCAGATATATGCGGGGGATTCGTTGCGCTCGCTCGCGTTTCTCGTGGGTGCCATCATGTTCGAGGTGTTCCGCCAGCTCCGAAAGGCCGATGGCACCCTGGACCCCGCGCCCAGCACGGCCGGCCACGTTCAGAGCAGAGGCGAACAGCACGCCGCGTTTCACATCGGGGGGCAGGGGGCAGCGGCGCGCAGAAAGTACATGCGGGAGAAGTGAGTCAAGCTTCAGATGCTGGAGGACACGATACGCGATGTTGCTCGTCGTCTTGGCCCTGCCATTGCCCTTTAATCAGTTATCGGCGCCGAAAATTGAGAGGCGCATGTCAGCAGCTACGTCGGCCCACTACGGCATGGGGCCTCTCTGGTCATTGCGAGCCCCGACAGCGTGGAAGCGCGCCATCTTTGTCGGTCTAGTGCAGGGCCCCCTTCTCTCGGGCACGGAAGCCTCGATCTTGGCAGACAGGCAACAGAGCGCGACGAGCCGTCGCCGCGCCCGTCCCGGCCGCGCTGCCGCGCGGGGCTCCGCGCGCGCAAAGCGGGCGGGCGATTCGAAGCGTTCTCCCCCCGTCGAGGATGCGCTCAGATATCGGGGCCCCACGACGCGGAGCGACATGGCGCGGCAGCATGGCGCGACGGCTGGCGCGGCAGCATGCTTGGGCCTCTCAGAGTGAACACGCGCAGTTGCCCACGTCACTGTTTGCAGGCACGCCCCTGGAGAACCCTGGGCGCCGGCCGCGCAGCGCGACGGGATTGACTGAACGCGTGGCAGCGTCGACTACGCGCGTTTGAACCGACTGGGCGGACGCAGCACGCGCCAGCCCGGGCCACGCCGAACCAATGTCCACCTATCCTTGAGAGCTCATCCAGGACAAGGTTACCAGAGGGAGTTTCGCATGATTGATCTTCGGCGGGCTCCGGAACTTCGGGCCGCGCTGGAAGCGCCCCCCCCGGCCCCGGCGCGGGCGGGGAGGGGGGGCGGGGAATGCCGAGGTCGCGCCCGCCTTGACGTGCACGGCCAAGAATGCAGATGGGCAGTTGCGTGTCCAGGCTGCGTATACGGCTAAAGGGTTTATTGCGCACCTACGCCACTAGCTTTGCTTGCATGCAGAATCGAAGACACGCGCTACCAAGACGAACCATTGCGTCGTCTGCGACAGAACCAGTTGCTCATCAGCTACGGCGGCCCAGCACCTACATCATGACATTGCGCGTGGGTCGCGCAGTAAATAGAAACCTAAACCTCTGCGTGCTTCGAGCCGGCGAGTTCTCGACGTGGACTGCGTGAGTTTGAGGCGGGCGACTACCGTGAGCTCAGCAACTATACGCAAGTACATCTTCTATGAAGGGTTGCGAGGGATCGACCAGGTAGCGCGCAGACAGCGCCCCCCCCCCCCCGTCCCCCCCCATCGGAGTCGCAGCGGAATAAGGTCGCCAAAAAGGGAACCAAATGCGGCAGCGGTGGTAAGGGCCGGGGCGCCTACAAGATGTTGCTAGCGCTGCTGGCCAGGGGAGAGCTCGCGGGCGCCCGTCAGATCGCGTCGCTGGCGTCGGCCGTATACGAGAGCCACTGCGCAAAGGAGGGCGGCGAGGAGGCTCTAGGCTACGCGGCGCGCGGCACAGGCCAAGAGTGCAACCGGGTCTCGGCCACAGCTGAAGGAGAAGCTGAAAACGGCGAAGAGCTCGACTTCCGCGAAGGGGAGCGCCGTTCGTCGCGGTGCGCGTCACAGTCCTGCGCCACATCGTGGACATTGCCAAGGAAGAAGCAGTCCACTCCGACCCGTCCATCCACGGGTCCATGCGCAAGTACTAGGAGGTGGTGATCATGGCGAAGAAACCCAAGGACGCGGGCCAGGACGTCCTCCACCTCCGCTACCAGATGGCACGCAGGGGCGCCAAGGACACGGCCGACACGAAGGGGGTGTTATCGCTGACGATATGCCTGAGGGAGCAAGTGGCCCCGCAAATGTGGCAGGCGGTGCTCAAATACATGGTAGAGGGCAGGATCGAGAGTCTCATTGGACCTGCCCCGCAGGGTCTCTTGGATCGCGAGTTCTCGCTCATCGCGTCAGAGATACAGCAGCAGAAGTAGGACGAGGATGGGTCCATCAGAGTGCCCGTTTGAATGAGCTCATCTCGAGAGGTGCAGTGTGCGCGAATGCTCTCAGCGCTCAGTCTCCCTTTGTCGCGAGTTCCTCTAGCGTTCTACCCTGTGCCCACTGTTTTTGTCCCTCCCGCTCCTCGCCCCTCCCGTCCCCCATCCGGGGCGAAGGCTCCGCCAGGTGCTGAAGCAGCAAGCTCGAAGGGTCGATTCAAAGGTGTTTCGGGCCAGGGCAACGCCCGCTGGAGAGCGGGCCAGTCTTGAGGTAGACGCCACGGCCCCGCGCGGGAGGTATACGGGGCCTTTTCTCTCCCGACCCCCTTTGTGCGCACCAGGTCCCGAGGTAGAAGCCACGGCCACGCGCGGGAGGTACGGGGGCTTTTTCTGTCCAGACCCCTTTTTGTGCGCAGTGGGCCTCGAGGTAGAAGCCACGGCCACGCGCGGCAGGTAGGTAGGGGAACCTTCCTCTCCCTACCCCCTTGCGCGCACCGGTCCAGCTCGCGGGACCGGGGGCGGTGAGTCCAGAGGGGTGGGCGACGGGTCAGCTTGAGGCGCTGGTCCCCAAGGGGCATCCACCAGGGTTGCGCACCCGAGCGGTGGTCGCCATAGAGGGGCAGCGCGAGCGGTGCTCGAGTGAGCACGGGGGTTCAAGAGTGGCTCCAGGAGATGAAGACTGTCGCCAACGCGACGCTATTTCGGACACTCGAATTTCCAGGAGCGGACTGGATTGGACTGGACTCGTCCTCTTCCTCTTCCTCCACATCCTCCTCATCCTCTTCCCTTTCATCATCATGAGCATCATCGTCTTTCCTCATCCTTATCCTCATCCTCCTCTTCCTCAACCTCATGTTTCCTCTGGTTCCTTTTCCCTCATCTTCGTTTTCCCATGGTTTCCCTCGTTGTTCCTCCTTTCTCGTCCCCTTCCTCCTCCTCACCTCTCCCCCCTCATAATTCCTGCGTTCTCCCACATCCACCATTTTACTTCGTGCTCCTCCTGTCGCCGTTCCTCCTCCATCGTCCTCCCCCTTGTGAGGGAGTTCTTGATGGCGCTTCTGGCGCACTGCTGGGTGACGATCTGCTCGAGGACTCATCAGCGCGGTTCCCAAGAAAAGGCGGGAAGAGTTAGCGGGGAGGTGGGAACAGGAGGAGATAAGAAAAGAAGTATAGCAATAGTTCTAGGGAGAGTAAAACAATACATGCAGATAAGGAGTGATATGTATACAAACATGGATACGGATGTGTATATATATATATATATATATATATCAAGTGATATCAATGGTGTAAGTACATGCAGCATGTATAAACACACACTTAAACACATGCATACTCAAAGGCACATAAGTAGATACACACATACATACATGCATGCATGATTGCATGCATGCGTACATGCATGCATGCATACGTACATATATGCATACATACATACATACATACATACATACATACATACATGCATGCGTACATGCATACATGCACGCATGCATACATGCATTCAGGCGTGCATACATGCATGTGTACATTAATGTATGCGTTCATGCATGCGTGCCTGCACATATATATATATATATATATATATATACATCGTTACATACATGCATACCTACAGATATGCGTACATGCAAGCATGCAGGCGTGCGTGCATGCATGCACGCATGCACGCATACATGCATGCCTACATACATATATTCACACATGCATACATACATACATACACGCATGCATGCATACATGTATGCACGCGTACATACATACATACATGCATGCATACAACCATGCATGCATACATACATCTATGCATATATCACGGTAGTCGTGCATGCACACATGTATATTGTCACGTATATAGTCACATGCATACGCACCAAACATACATACCAACGTGCATACATACATACATACATACATTCACGCATGCATGCATGCATGCATGAATGCATAGACACATACAGACGCACGTACGCACGCACGCACGCGCACACATACATACGGGCATAACTCCGTGCACAAAACAACACGAACATTATATCATATAACACTACGTACCCGTACATTGCGTCACCGTTCAGTTCGATACTACGCATTACATTATATTGCATTAGAACATCACATTACATCACATTGAATCACACTACTATACAGTACATGTCATTACATCTATACATGTATCCGTACCTGTACGTGTGCATGTGTGTGTGACGAATGCGCCCCCCACCCTGCCCGGAGGCCTAACACCTCCGTACCATGCCGCCCGCTTTTGTTGGATACATCTTCCTTGGGGCCTTCAAGAGGCCTCGAGACGGCCCAAGGGGCCTCCAAGACAGCCTGAGATAAGGTCCGTACCCATTTTGGCTCAAGCCGGTTTGGCTCAAGCCGTTTTCGTTCAGGCAGTTTTGTCGCAATGTATTTGGGCGCAAGGCGTCCCGACTCTGTTGGGGCAATTCAGGTGGGCCGTTCGAAGGGCATGGCCGCATAATCTGAGGTGAGCAATGCACTTACACCGAATTTCGTTGAGAGTGTTATGCTTTTTAGACGCTGCGCTAGCCGTCAAAGCTTGGGAGTTAGACGATCTGGGGAGGCAGTCTACGACGGTGCTTGTCGCATCCAGTCTCGAAAGCGTGTTCTGGTAATCTCAGCATCCATATGTGGCTTGCATGAGAAGCCAACTGAAACACAGAGAGCATTCGTGAATGTTGGTTTGCTCACCCTCTCTCCAAATGTTCGAGGATCCGTTTTAGAAGCAGCTACTCGGAACATCGTGCGCGACATGTACCCTCGCGCCGCCATCGAGGATGCTTTGCCAGGATTGTGCGTGAATGGAGTGCAACGCTCGCAGCACATGGCCAACTACGATTGGTTAATGGATGGGCGCCGGGTCGAATGTAAAAGTTCAGCATTGAGTTGGGAGTCCAATCGCAAATCGTGGAGTATTACTTTTCGTGGAATCAAAGCTGCGCGCATGGGCGTGCGCGCACAAAGCGCGTTCGACGAGCTCATCCTCTCTTTCTGCAGCCCTCGTCGTTTGTATATCTACAGGCACGATGGCGCGTACTCCTTCAGCACGAATGGCGTTCAGTCATTATGGAGTGGTGATCTGATTAGGATTCGTGGTCCCAGGAACGAGGTAGATTGGCAACTTGCACTTCGGAATATTCTTGCAAAGCTTGATGGCAGTCGAAACGGGTGCGAGCGCCTTGCGGACGTGCCTTTGTGGGACGATCGAATTTCAGAGGCAATCCAGCAGGCGTCATGTGTGAGACACCTCGCCTATGTAGGCGTGCCTTTAAGCACACTGGATCCAAGTACACGTGCGCTCCGTATCCATTGTATGATGCGGGAAGTAGACACGATGTTGTATCCAAAAGCTTCATTCACGGATCCAGAGCTACATCCTTGCATCGATGGTCTCGCACGCGGGCATTGGCAAAGTCAGCAAGACTACGCTTGGGTACGTGATGGTTTGCGTGTTCAGTGCCGATCAGCCGGGATGACGTGGGACATGACGAACAAACGTTGGTATGTTCGTTTCTCTCACATACGATTTCATCTCTTCGACGAGCTTAAGTTGGCTATTTGGTCTCCTGCTGGAATATTCGTGCTACAGCACAATATGAAGTTTGGAGTCTCCAAGAGTGGATCGGGCACAGCACTTGCAGGACATTGCATAACAGTGACAGCTCGTTGCAATGATCATGATTGCGTTCTTGCTTTGCGCTGCATTTTGCAGAAGCTTGATGATGCAAGCTGTGCGCTTGTCGCCCAATTAAATTGGCCATAAACCGTTAGCTTCTGGAGAACATACAGGCTTCATGACAACGACAAAAAAGACAGCCTAAGATAAGATACCCCCAAGATCCTGTAAGAGGACCCAAGATGAGCCGAAGACTGCCCAAAAGGGCACCAACAAAGCGCTCAAGATGGCCTCAGCACGGCTCAAGAGGTCCCCGAGACTCCCCAGAAGAGCCCCCGGCGCGCCCCAAGGAGGCCTTGAGGAGGCCAAACACATTGATGTTCCTTAGGCTTGTTAAGGATTTGTATGTCGACCGCCCAAGACCGCAACCGAGGCCTTCCAGAGGCCCCACAGAGAGAGCCAAAACGGCACCGGAGGGCCGCAAGACAGCCCAAGAAGGCTCCAAGACGGCCCAAGAGGGCGTCGGGGAGCGCTCCAGGAGAGCGCAAGAGGCCCCGAGACGGCTCAGGAGCGTTTCCCGGCGGCCCAGGAAGACGCCAAGGCGACCCAGGAGGCACCAGGACTCCCCAGAAGCCTCCAGGAAGCTCAAAGAGAGCTCCAGAAGACACCCTGGAAGGCCCCCAGAGGCAGAAAGGATTGAGGAGCTCACTGCTCTCGCCCTCCTCTTCCTCCTGCTCGTCCGCGGCCTCCCTGCCTCGCGGCGAGGCCTGGCTCGGGCTGCCCCCCAGGAGGCATTTTTTTTTTGCCTCCCCCGTCGTTGCTGCTTGCTGATGGACCGACACGCGCCAGATCGGCACTGACGGCGTCACCCTGAGAAGGCTTAGGTTTCGCTTCTCGGATTGAAGGGCTTCTGCTGGTGGAGAATTCATGTGTTTCGAGATCTCGTCTCCCAGGGGCCTCTCGGGCCTCAGGACGGTCCACAAATGGCCCACGAGGAGCCCCAGGAAGGCCCAAGACCTGCGACTGGCACGCCCAAGACCTTTCCACAATGGTTCCGAGACGGCCGAAGATGGTTTCGAGACGGCCTTCGAGACCGCCAAGATTGCCCCAGAAGGCCACCAGACGGCCCCAGACAGCTCCAAACAGCCCCTGGAGACTCCCATGAGGCTTCCAAGAGGCCCCTTGGAGGCCACAATCCTTGAACAATTGTTGGTGTGTGAAGGTCTCGCCTTTTCGCTCCCGAGAGGCCTCTGAAGCCTCAGGCTGGTCCAGAATTGACCCACGAGGAGCCCCATAGCGGACCAAGACGGTCAATTTGGGGGCCCAAAACCCTTCAATGGGGGCTCCGAGACGGCAGAACATGGCCTCGAGACGGTCCTTGAGCCCGCCAGGATTGCCCCAGAAGGCCTCCAGACGGCCCCAGACAGCTCCAGATCCATCATGCCCCCAAGAGGCTCCCATTACGCTTCCAAGAGGCCCACACTCAGCCGACCTGATGTTCCCAGAGCCCTCACAAGGAACATCAGGCCAATGGCTTGACGACCCCGATCATGATGATGGTCACCATGCAGATGTCCTGCTCAATGGTGCTGAGGAGACTTATGGTGCTGATAGTAGTGATGGTGACGGTGATGACGACAATCATGATGAGGAGCATACTGATGGTTCTGATGATGCTGCCCCCGCCCTTTCCACCTCTCCCTCTCTGACGCCCCCCTGCTTGCACATCCCGCTCCTCTTCTGCAGGGAGAGGGCCCCAGATGGCCTCCAGGCAGCCCCAGGCAGCCTAAGGTGGCCCCCAGACGGCCAAAACATCACCCCAAGAGGTTTCCAAGAAGCTTCACAAGGCTTTCGGGAGACGACACTTTTTTCGAACAGTCAAGGAAAACGTTTGTTTTTCCCCAGAACTCCCTTTTCGCTTCCGTGTGGCCTCTGAGGCCTCAGGATGGTCCAAACATGGCCCACGAGGAGCCCCAGGCGGTCGACTTGGGCTCCCAAGACCCTTCAAGATGGCTCCGAGGATGGCTTCGAGACGGCCCTCGAGCCCGCCAAGACGATCCAAATTAGCCTCCAGAGGGCCCCATACAGCTCAAGATGCCCCCAAGACGGCGCCGGGAAGCTTTCAAGAGCCTTTCAAGAGGCCGCCAGGAGGGCAACATTATTCAAAACCCGAAGGGCAACTGCATTTTTTAAAGGTGTCACTTTTTGGCTCCCGAGCGGCCTATGAGGCCTCAGGATGGTCCAAGACTGGCCCTCGAGGAGCCACAGAGAAGCCCAAGACTGTCGTCTGGGGCCCCCCAGACCCTTCAAGATGGCTCCGAGACGGCCGATGATGGCCTCGAGACGGCCCTCGAGCCCGCTAGGACAGGCCCAGATAGCCTCCAGACGGCCCCAGACAGTTCCAAATGCCTCCAAGACGGTCCCACCACGCCTCCAAGAGGCCCCAACGCGCTTCCAAGGGCCCCCAGGCGACCACAATCCTTCATTCCCGACGGCCCGTCCGAGCCCCCCACACGCAGCCGGCCTGATGTTCCCAGAGGCCCCTCCCGACAAACATCAGACCGACGGCACAACCACCATGATGATGGTGATGATGATGATGATGATGATGATGATGATGATGATGATGATGATGGTGGTGGTGGTGGTGATGATGATGATGAGGATGATTCTGATTCTGAATATAACTAGTCTGATTATTATGAGTATGCTGGTGGTGACGGTGCTAATGATGATGACGATGACGATGATGATCGTGATGATGCTGATGCTGATGTTGATGCTGACGATGATGTTGCTGTTGATGATGGTGATAATCCTGCTGATGATGCTGATCATGATGCTGATGATACTGATACTGATCGGAGGAGAAGGCTGGTGGTGCTGATGATGGTGATGATGATGGTGATGGCGATCGTAGTGATGGTGATGGTGATGATGGTGATGATGATGGTGGTGATGGTGATGGTAATGGTGCTGGTGATGATGGTGGTGATTGGGATGGGCATGGGGATGGACACGGGGATGGTGATGGTGATGGTGATGATGTTACTGGTAATGCTGTTGATGGTGATGAGGATGAGGTTGAGGATGATGTTTATGCGGATGATGATGTCGATGCTGGTGATGATACGATTGTTTATGACGGCGATGTTGATGTTGATGATGATGATGCTGACGATGACGACGATGATGAGGACGACGGTCAGGATGATGATAGAGACGAGGATGTGGATGATGATGTTGATGATGATGGTGATGATGCTGGTACTGATGATAAAGATGTTGATGATACTGATGGTGATGATGATGACGATGACCATAACGATGGCGATGGCGAAGCTGATGATGATATCGATGATATTGATGATGCTGATCATGGTCATCATGATAGTGTTAGTGGTGGTGGTAAGGATGATGAAGATGATGATGCTGGTGATGATGGCTGTGATGATGATGATGCCGATTATGATGATGATGATGGTGATGATGATGATGATGATGATGATGATGATCGTAATGATGATGATGATGATGATGATGATCATGATGGTGGTGGTGGCGGCGATGGCGATAAGACGATGACCATTGCGATGATGATGGTGATGACGATGGCGATGGCGATGGTGTTGAAATTGATAATGTTGATGATGGTGATGATCGTCATGATGATGGTGGTGATGATGGTGGTGGTGATGGTGATGGTGATGGTGGTGGTGGTGGCGGTGGTGGTGGTGGTGATGATGGTTGTGATGATGACGCTTCTGATAACGATATGTGTGTTGATGGTGTTGATGATTATGTTGATTGTGGTGATGATGATGGTGGTAAGGATGACGATGGTAAGTACGATGTGACGACGACGATGATGATAATGATGATGATGATGGTGGTGGTGATGATGATGACGATGGTGATGGTGATGGTGATGATGATGATGATGATGCTGGTGATGGGGTGATGGGGTGATGATGATGATGATGATGATGATGATGATGATGATGATGATGATGATGATGATGATGATGATGATGCCCCCCCTGCCTCCCTCAATCGTCCCTCTCTCGACCCCCCCTCTCTCACCGCCGCCCTCCTGCGGTCCGCGCCCGCGCTCCGCCCGCCTCAAGTCCCGCCGCACCGAAATCTTGCATGTTCCGGCGCCGCTGAGGGGCCGGCGCGGCCCCAGCATGGCGGGGGCCCGGGGGCATCGGGGGCGGAAGAGGAGGAGGAAGACGACGGGGAGGAGGAGAAGGAGGAGGAGAAGGAGGAGGAGGAGGAGAAGGAGGAGGAGAGGAGGAGGAGAGCTGGAGAAGGAGAAGCACAAGGGGCTGGCGTCGTGTGTAGCGGGGTGGCACGGTTGGGGGGGGGGGGGGGGGCGGCCTTATGAGCAGGCGGGGGGGGGCTCTTACAAGTCAGAGGCCCTCTTAGAAGGCCCTGAAGGCTCCCGAGAAGGCTTCTCAGAAGCCGGACGGGCTTCTGAGAGGCCACCCGCCTTCTTTGGGGGGGGTCTTACAAGTCAGAGGCCCTCCTAGAAGGCCCTGAAGGCTCCCGAGAAGGCTTCTCAGAAGCCGGGCGGGCTTTGAGAGGCCGCCCCGCCTTCTTTGAAGCCCCCCCCCCCCCGCCATGTTCGAAGGCAGCCCCCCCTCGCGCCGCCCCTTCTGCGCGCGCCGCCAGATGGACAGAGGATGGCAACCACGTGGACGACTACGACGACGACCACCACCACCACGACGACGACCACGACGACGACGACAACGACGACGAGGACGACGACGACGACGAGGGAGGACGAGGAGGAGGAAGCTCGAAGAAGTACATATTGCATAAGCAACAACTGCCAGACGTTCGCGCGGACCTCCCGAAGTTTATATGTATGCCGTTGTTCTGTTCCTCTAGGGGAGGAGGAGGAGGAGGAGGAGGAGATGGAGGAGGAGGAGGAGGAGGAGTAAGAGGAGGAGGAGGAGGAGGAGGAGGAGGAGGAGGGAGGAGGGTGGAGGGAGGAGGGAGGAGAGAGGAGGGAGGAGAGAGAAGGGAGGAGGGAGAAGGGACCAGTGGGAAGCTGTAAAAATAGCGGGAAGACCTCGATGGATCTCCTCTTCGGGGCACCGCAGCGCCAGGCAATGATCAGCTCGGAAGCCTTCTTGAAGGACGGTCCGTGAGCCAGGACGGCTGTGGAAGCAATCCTTGTTGTAATTGTGCCCTGTCTCTCGCGACCCGCTGCTGTGACAAGTAGGGCACTGGAAGAGCCCCCGCCGCGATTCTACAATCAGCTCTGGTCATAGGTGCCTGGGACTGCCAATCCTGAGACCTCCAGACTACGCTCCTTACAAACATATCGACGAAGCAAAGGAACGGCCTGGACCGCTTGGGCCCCACGGTCGAAAAACAGATCGCGCCACAATCAGGACGCAACGAAGATGTCACGAGTTTCGGCGTCCACACCGCGCAAGAACGCTTTTGACCAGTTGGTGGCCAACACCCCCCACGGTGAATCTCTGGAACCAATCGAAAAATTGCATGGAGTATATTGCAGCTGCGTGCTCGTGGGTGCAAGCGTTGCCTGCCCCGGGCGCGCCTTCTGCCAAGAGATGTGGTCCTGAAGTGCGCTTTCACTCTGCTGGAAACCATGCCACATACATCCCACTGCCTATCTTTAAGTCGGGCCTGTCCCTCTTCTAGTGTTTGGCTGGGTAAAAGTATGTGAGGGGTATTGTTTATTTCTCCTCCCAGATCCGCCTGTAGGGGGACAGGCCCGTCTCAAGCCTACCTGTTGGGGGCCACGCCACGGTTCCAACGTAGGGCCGCGTGCTGGCATATCGATTTGCCAGCCATGAGCGTCAGCAGTGCAATCCGCTCTACGGCGCCCTCCGTCAACACGTCGGCCACGCAGTCTTTGGTGCCAACCCACCACAGTGCCGAAAGAGTGCCTCGATCGAGTAGCTGCCGTATCCACTGGGCGTAGTATAACGCGTATGCCTCTCAGCCGGCATGCGAGTTGCCTCGGCGGTAATGTTTGCGAAATCGAAGTGTGCATCAGCGCGCGCAGGAGGCTCCAGAGGCGGGGCGAAGCCGCCACGGGCGCCGTCCACTGCGTCGCGCAACAGCTGAGGGCCCATGGGCCCGAGCTGCACCTCAGCCAGGAAAGCTCCGAGCAGAAGTAACTATCAGGAAGGAACAAACACACAGGCACAATTAATCGTCGAGTCCCCAGAGAATATGGGGAAAATATGGGAAGTGGAGGGGGGAAGACGAAAACCCAGAAAAGATTAGAACTTATGGGGAATCCGAGGATTTCTGTCAATTTATTTGTGTGTCCCTGGGCCTCTTCAAAATAGTCACACGAATCGCTGAGCTGGCAAAGGTCTGCTCCCCCAGGGCTCCTCACGACGTGCGCCTGCTTGCGACCGCAGAACTCCAGCACGTTACAACGCCCTCCAGGCGAATCGGCGGCCTTGCACTTCACCAGCACGTAGGCTGCGCCCCTCATTTACTGGGCGCGTTCCACTACTCGCAAAGTGCCTTTTCGCAAACGTCCGTGCAACATATGTCTTCCTCTATGTAATGCATCGTACCCCCCCCGGCGGATCCAGGCCATTTACGAGTAGCTACTCTGCGAGTGGTGGAACGCGCTCGTCCACTCATGGGAAGACCTTGATCATCAGGCTCTCACTGGAAAGCCGCATCGCCAACCGCCACAAGACGAAGCCGAAGCTCCAAGGCCTGCGAACGAATCGCTCACGACGTGTTCTTCGTGTACCGCAAGAGCCAGTTAACCCGTCTCACGTGCCCGACCCTAGGGTCTCTCGCATGCCGTTGCAAATCTGAAACGTACATGCAGATTCCTGTTCTGGTCATCACGCACCACGCGATGCCTCCAAGTAGTGAGAGGAGGTACTTCTGCACGATGTGTGTTCGGCGGCACGGCATCGTCGGTAAGCCCCTGGAGGTCGTTCTCTTCGATGGTGTTGAGGCCCTTGATGCACGTGGTCTGATCCACCTCGACGGCAAGTTCATCCAGCTGCGGATGCACGAGACCACAGTGCACGATTGCGCCTTCGAGCTTCGCCATCTCGCCGAACAGCTCCTCCAAGACCGATGCCAATCAGTCCGAGTGCCTATCTCGAAAAAGAAAAAACGCTATAAACATTAACTGTTGGCGCTCCGCGCGCATTTCTTGGATCCGTGCCGGGGCCCCCCAGCGGCACCTCCGGCGCCGCCCTTGGCGCGCTCCGCGCGCCAGGGAGGGGGGTTCGGCGCAGATCCCAGAAATCCGCGCGGAGCGCCAAAAGTTTGCGTCTATGGCGTTTGCATCTAAAGCACCTGTCATCGTGCGGACGTGTGCATTTTTTTCTCGGCGAGGGCCCTCGAGGAGGATCCTGGATCTCCTTGCGAAGAAACAGCTGCTCGCACGAGATCGACGAGTGCACTGGGGAGGGGCGTCCGAACGACGGCGAGAGGGCTCGACGGGCCCTGTCACGCAGGGTTCACGCAGATACTTCCAAAATGAAGCGGCGCAAGCAATAGATGGTGCTGCTGTCGTGACGTCCTGTCTTCCATTTGACGAGGCTCCCGATGGACATCGATCATGAGATAGAGCATCGCATTCATTAACGGTCATCTCCATGACGCATCCACAGCTTGCATACCCGACATGTCTCCACCACTTCGTCGACCAGGGAAATGGCACGAGGAGGCACTCCAGCAGCTCGAAGCAGGCGCTCCATTTAATCCTTCGTCGCATGAAACCACCGCAAGTGCAACTTCCGAAGAGCGCGCCTCGTAACGGCGTCGCTGTTGCGGAAGAGCGCCCTCCGTGCCGATCCAAGGTCGCAAACAGTCCAACCATCCTCGTCGTCGTCGTCGTCATCGTCCTGCACCCCGACCCGCCGATCCGCGGGAATCGAGAAAGGCCAGGGGGTTGAGGCTGTCGGCCGCCTACACGCAGTGCATGGCGCGGCTCCGGATGTGGTGCCGGAGGTGCCGGCGGCGATGAGCTGCGTTCCTCCGCCGCCGGTATTGAGGGCGCTGCTGCAGGCGCCTCGGAGGGCGGGGGTGCGGATGGGGGTTGCGCTGGGCCCGCTGCTGCTGCCGGCGGCGTCGAGCTCGGCAGCGCCGACGCGCGCGGCGCTGGTCGCGAGGGCGCCGGGCTCGAAGGGACCTGAGCCACACTGGCTCTCTCGCACTCTCCCGGCACCCGCGCGGGCGCTCGGGTTTGCCTGCGGCCGGCCGGGCACCTCCAGCCTCCCGGCGGCGCCTCTGGCTCGACCGAGTCGGCCATCCTACAATGCCCAGGCCGACGACTGTGAGCAACAGGTCGGCCGCGGCAGGCCAGACAATCCCAATGCTGCTGGGGGCTCGCTTCCCCTGGCACGGGGCGACGCTCGGACGAGGCGTCGCCGCCGCTGGCCGGTTCAGGAGCACGGGCACCCCCGGAGACTTCGCGTGCAGCTTGGTCTGCAGGCGGCTGGCGAGCCGCCGTCCGCAGGTCGGAGTCACTCGGTTGCTGGCCTGCCTGTATGTTTATACGTGTACCTGGTCGGCGGCGTCGCGCCGCCATATTTGGCTCATGTGCTCCGGCCTCGCGCGTGCCGAAGGGGCTAACTGCGGCTCGCGCTCGTCCGCGTCGGCGTCCGCAGGAAACGATGCGAAGAAGTGGGCGCGCGGCGGAAACTTACAGAAATCGTTTTATGCCGCTAGATATTGCCTCTTGGCATCGCTCGGACGTGTGCACGTTTCTCGATGGGGGCCATCGAGGAGCATTTTGGGTCATCTCGCGCAGAAGTGCGCACGAAACCGAAACATGCACGGGGAATGGACGTTCGAGCGATGGCCAGTTGTCGCCTCCTCTCACCCAGAGGAGCCGCGATCTTCGGCGTGCCGAAGATCGCGAGGGCGTGGGACCAGAACTCCGACGTCGTGCTCTGTTGCACCAGGAGCTCAGCATCGCTCGGACGTGTACAGCTTGTCTCGGCAAGTACCATCGAGGAGCATCGTCGTCCATCTTGCGAAGAACATTCGCACGAAGCCGAAAATGAGTAGACGTCCGAGCAATGGCCAGCCATGGGACCCCAGAGTTCTGGACCGCTTCCCCAGGATCGGTGTTTTGTCCTTGTTCGTTTTTCGACTGTCCTAGGCCTGGTGAGGGCCCCCAGGGGCGGAAAACGGCTGAAGACCGCGCGATCATCTTTGCACAAAGAAAGAGAGGGTCACGCGGGGGCTCGGCTGCAGACCACGAGGGCGGATGTATGCGTCGCCTCCCAGGTGAGATCCGAGTGGATGGCGTCGGAGGAGCGCGCCGCATCGCGGCTGCGTCGGCGATGCGGCTTTATGTAGAGCCCGAGTTTCCCCACGCCGCTGGTGCATCGCCGATGTTGACGATGCATTTGCGATGCCGCGCGACCCTCCAACCCCATACACTCGGGGCCCATCGAGGAGGCCTCTGATGTGGACATGCCCGTCGCTCGTCGAGGGGTGGACGCCAGGCGGGGCTGCCGGCGCCGGCGCGGCTCCCGGCGCTGCTGCTGGCGACCTTGGCGGCGCGGGCGGCGTCCTTGCAGCAGGCGCGCCCGCCAAGGGGGGGGGGCGCGGCCCCGCGGGGCATCGGAGGGGCTCGATGCACCCACCACGTTGGAGCCGGCTGAGGGTCTGAGGTGGACCAAGCATTGGTTCCGGCGAGCAGGAAAAGGGAGGCAGGTTGGGTTCGGGAAGGTTTTTGCGCGTTTCGGCCTCAGGGGTCGTTTTCGGGCCCCGGGACCGTCAGAAACGAATCCGGCGCACCAGATGGACCTTTGGTGGGGTCGGGAGACCGATTTTCAGCGGATTTGGCCTCATCCCCCTTCTTGACCCAGGTCCTCTGGGCCCATCCAGTTCAGACCTCCCTGGCCGCCGCCAACGTCGGAGGGGCTCGACACGATGTATACACCACGTTGTTTGGTTGGCCAAGGATCCAGCGAATTCTGCAGAGGTACTCGGCCGATGAGGAGGAGGAGGAGGAGGAGGAGGAGGAGGAGGAGGAGGAGGAGGAGGAGGAGGAGGAGGAGGGGGGCCCCCTTCCCCCTCCAACTTCTGGTGGTGGTGGTGGGGGAAAACAGGCCCAGCAGAGCGGTCCGCAGGCGGGGCCCATTCCCAACAGAGCAAGTCCTCTGCAGAACCACTTGCAGACGAGGCAGTCGACTGGCGGAGCGGTCTCCGTGCGATGCCCGTGCGCCCGCTGGCGGCCGCCGGGGGGGGGGGGCACCAACAGGCAGCATGCAAGGTGCGGTTGCGCAGGTCTTGGGCCTGTGCGGCTCCAGAATGCTGTTGCGGCCCGTCACGGGCGCGCAGACTGGCAAGGCCCCTCGCGTTGACGAGCAAAGGCGCGTCAAGAAAGTGGTGCAAGTGGAAGCAAGGCGTTGTACAAGAGGAGGTCGAAGACAGCACGGCTGCCGCAAGTTGGCGATAGCGGGGCATAAGCCCAGGGGCCCCGACGCCCCGCGCCCACTCCCGGAGGGGCAGTTCCGATGGTAGGAGGTGACCACGTGGGTCCAGCGTGCCAGCCGCGATGTCATTCAAGCTTATCCAAATCGGTTGGAGGATCCGATCCGAGGAAAGCCCGCCGCACTGCCGTACGAGCCACAGGGAATCCCCATAAGGACCACCGGTTGAACCTTCCCCTCCCGCAGTTGTACAGACGTGACCAGCCAAAGCCCATGGGCAAGTGCACAAGGCCTGGATGATGAACACGAAATAATGCCGTTGCCTGCAATCGCTCAAAACAACGGGAGAGATGGAACTCAAGGGTCGGTTCGTCCACACGGCCGCTGCAAGCGACGTGAAGCGAGGAGTTTGCAATACAAGGAGGAGCCAACTCTTCGGCGGCCATCAGCACTGCCTGTGGCAAGAAGACCTACATATGGCCAGGCTCCCATCTCGGTGGGTGGAACAACTCAATCAAGCTCGAAGTTTGGGGGAATCGTAGGCATTCTATCCGGCGTGAGTCCCTTCTCCTGGCACCATATGAGTTCCCCCACGGCAGGATTCCTTGCGGATCCAGAACCGAGGAGTCGAAGAGCATCGAGGATCGCGGAGGATCGAGTGTCGAGGGATCGAGCGGGAGGGGATCGAGGATCGAGGGAGGAGTCCAGGATGGAGAAGCATCGGGGCGTCGAGGTTTTTGCACGCTCTGCTGCCTCCTTCGCTGCCTCCTAGGATTCTCTCGGAGACCAGCGATCAACTTCCAGGGGCCCCGGGAAGCCCCGACCTCGCCAACGGCACCGAGTTGGGCCACTGGCACCAGCAGGGGCCCTGCCTGGTGCGCGTGGCCCCGGGGCCAGCAGACGGCGGCCCAGGTTGGAGAGATCGTTCCGGCAAGGGGGCCGATCAGGGGAGGAACAATCTAGGCCTCCTAGATGGGGTCGAAGGATGGCGCCGCATCGACGATGATCGGCGATGCGGCTCGATGCGGAGCCCGATTTCCCCCACGCCAACGTCGCCGATGTATTGGCGATGCTCTGTAGTCCTCCGACCCAATCTACTCCGACCCCATCTATGAGGCCTCCAGAGATCGTCCAGGGGAGGGAGTCGATCAGGGGAGGAAAAGGTACCGGTACGGTTGCTCGTGTTGGCGAGCCCGCGTCGCTACGGGTGCATATCTCGCGAGATGTTGGTCAGAGCGCACCCCTGGGGACAGTCCCAAGGAGTAGCGGCATCGAATTGTTGTTTGTCAACCCAGCCGAGGGCTTTTTCATCTCATGATTATATGCTCTCTTAGTTGTTGTTATGCGCTTAGTAGCATCAGTCTTATTATTGCTACTCTTGATCTTGGCATCGCTCGCACGTGTGCGTTTTTCCTTGGCGAGGACCATCGAGGAGCATCCTTGATCATCTGGCGAAAAAAAACACGCACGAAAACGAACAAAAACACAGGGAATGGACGTCCGAGCCATGGCCTGTGATGTTGTTTTTACGTATGTGTCTTATACTTCGTAACAGTATCAGTACACCCCCCCTAACGTAGACTACCCAACTAACGTAGCCCGGACCTCGGTGACACCGAGCCCGGCCCGCGCGGAATGGGTATGACACCTGCATTCTGGCGACCCGATTGTCTCTGAATGATGCTCTTGCTTGCGCCGGCCACACTCACGATTACAAAAGTTAATCTCGCCTTAGCGCTGGCCACATCCACGATTGCGAAAGTTGCTCTCGCCTTAGCGCCGGCCACAATCATGATTGAGAATGTTGCTCGCGCCACAGCGCCGGCCACATCCAGGATTGCGAAAGTTGCTCTCGCCTCAGCGCCTGCCAGATTCTTCTTCGGAAACGGAGAGGGGTTAGTGATACAGTTGGCACTCTTGCATTGCCATTTGCGGTGTCGCCCTATTCTGGTGCATCACTTGCTACAGCGCGCGAGCGTGACACACTGGTGTCGCCTAGCCGTTGGCCACGTGGACGTTAATGGGTCAGGTTAGCCTTGGCGCAGTGTCGACAGGGCCTGGGTCAGGTGAGGGTAGGGATTGTCTACGTTAGGGGGGGGGTATAATTGTCATGATGGGTCTTATCGCCATTCGCACGAGTCCTCGTATCGTTTTTATTCGTTAGGTGTTTATTCGAGGTCGAGGGCTCCAGGGGGGAGCGCGCCGAGCCGCGGCGGGGGTGCGGGCTGCAGGCCGCGCGCCTTCTTTGCGAGCCGCACCCTTCGAGAGAGTCGCCGGCATGGGAAGCACCTCGATAGAGAGGAGCGGTCGGATGGCCGCGCGGATCCATCGGGTCCGCGCGCGGCCCCCCCGCCGCGCTCCGCGCGCCAGGGGGGGGGAGGTCATGAGAGCCTTTCTCACGGCTTACGATTCTAAAGCTCAGAAGGTGACAACATTTTCAGAGGTTCAGGGCGGGTGGTTTTCAAGATGTGGTTCTCGCCTTGGCGCCGCGCACAGTCGCTCTAAACTTTGGCAAGTGTTCCACGGATTGAGGATGACCCGTTTTCAAAATGTGGTTCTCGCTTCAGCGCCGCGCACATTCGTTTGAAGATTGCAGGAGTTCCATTGGTTGAGGATACCCCGTTTTCAAAATTGTGGTTCTGGCCTGAGCGCCGCGCACATTCGTTCTAACAATTTGCAATCGTTTCACGGATTGAGGGCGGTTCCTTTTCAATATGTGGTTCTCGCCGTAGCGCCACGCACATTCGTTCATAAAGTTTGCAAGGGTTTCACTGATTCCCACGATCAACGTACCAGAAATGGTGGTTTGGAACGATTCCGCATTCTGTGGATGCAAGAATTACATTGGTTCGCGTCGTTGATCTCCCAAGAATGGCGTTCTGGCACGATCCGGGATCGTCAAGGCGCAACAGTCAGGTTGATCCGTGTCTTTGGAATCCCGAGAACAATGTTTTGGCATGCTTCTGGGTCTTCAAACGGTTGTTTTCCAACCAGGCAGATCCCGCAGTGGAAATGAACCGTTGCAGGAACCAGAGAAGAGGGAGTTAGGAGGAGGGGGGTTGTACTCCAACATCGTTGATGGCTTTTGGATGTTCACTGGTCCTCCTCCTCCTCCTCCTCGTCCGTCTCCTCCTCGTCCTCCTCTTCTTTCTCCTCCTCCTCCTCCTCCATCTCCTCCTCCTCCTCCACCCCCTCCACCTCCTCCCTACTTCTCCTCCTTTCATCTTCCTCCTTCTCCTCCTCCTCCTCCTCCTCCTCCTCCTCCTCCTCCTCCTCCCCCTCCCCCTCCTCCTCCTCCCCCTCCGTCTCCTCCTCCTCCTCCTCCTCCCCTCCTCCTCCTCCTCCTCCTCCTCCTCCTCCTCGTCGTCCTCCTCGTCTTCTCCTCGTCCTCCTCCTTCTCCATCTCCCTCTCCTCCTCCTCCTCCTCCTCCTCCTCCTCCTCCTCCTCCTCCTCCTCCTCCTCCCCCCATCCACCTCCCTCCTCCTCCTCCGTCTCCCCTCCTCCTTCTCCTCCTCCTGCTCCTCCTCCTCCTCCTCCTCCTCCTCCTTCTCCTTCTCCTCCTCCTCGTCCTCCTCCTCCTCGTCCTCCTCCTCCACCTCCTCCTCCTCCTCATCATCATCCTTATCCTTCTCGTTCTCCTTTTCTTCTCCTCCTCCTCTCCCTCCTCTTCTTCCTCTTCCTCCTCCTCCTCCTCCTCATCCTTCTCCTTCTCCTTCTCCTTTTCTTCTCCTCCTCCTCTCCCTCCTCTTCTTCCTCTTTCTCCTCCTCCTCCTCCTCCTCCTCCTCCTCCTGCCCTTCGTGTCGTTTCCCCCGCAGCCCCGCCGTGATCAGGAGGCGCTCCCCGTCACAGCGTCGTCTCTGCAGCAGGCCGGCGCGCGCCGCCCTCTCCCGCTCGGTGCGTGGGGAGTGGCTGCATACGCGGCAGAAGCAGCGTCCTCCGCCAGAGTGGCCTGCTTTAGGCAGCCCTGGATGGCCTCGAAGATGGCTCAAGGTAGCGCGGTGTCGCGGATATGGCTTCCAACATGTTCCAAGAGGTCTCAAAACGGCTCCCAGACGGACCCGAGTGACCCTGTGGGCTCCCAGGGACTCTCCCAACAGGCCAGGCTCATCCTCACTGCGTGTTGCCTTCTCGCCCGTTCGTTTCCGATGAGCTTCTGGGGCCTCCCGATGTCTCCAAGAGGGCCCAGGAGAGACCCAGGAGGCAGGGGGAGCGACCCTCGCTGGAGTGGCCTCGGGCGCGGGCAGTGTGGCTCGTGCCCTCTTCGAGCCCCGCCGGGGCAGAGCGCGGCCGCCAGCCGCGCGCCAGAGGTCCCTCCCGCCCGCTCGGTGGCGGGGGGGGGGTCGGCGGGACGCCCCCCCCGCGCGGCGCGCGCGGGGGGGCGGCCGCGTGCGGCAGGGGGAGGGGGGCGAGGGTCGAGCTTCGAGGCCGAGGGTTCGTTTGTCAGGCGATCGCAGGGTTCGTTCGTTCGTCAGAGGGCACCTTTATCGAGGGAAGAAGCACGGGGACCACGCCTAAGAGATCCCGCGGGGCTTTTCCGAGGCTGATCTTGGTCATGGCCCATGTCGGGCGTCGCTGGTTCGCGAGGAAGGTCACGATCTTACGCTGGCCAAGATCAGGCGATCGCAAGCACGGATCAAGGGGGCGAGGACTGGCGACGTGCCCCGTTTCCACGGGTGAGTCGCGGCTTCCCGCCGCCGGGCGAGGCGGCACCGGCCGCACTTTGGGGAGGGCACCTCCCTCGACCCACGGATCTGGCGACCGCGTGCCTGATCCATGGATCGCTAATCCATGTTTGCGCGCCCCCGATTCGAGGCCGAGTGTTCGTTTGCGCGCCTTTTTCACGCTCTTCTGGCCTCCCGGGTGCTGCTCGTCGCGAGGGCTGGATTCGCTCGGGAGTTCTGGTCAGAACGTATTCTTGGAGAGGTCGCGTGTCGAGTTCTGTCAGGCATCGTCATGCATATCCCCAGTGTTCGCGCCGTGGCAAAAATCACGACAGAAGGCTTTCGGCCGTTCTCGGCTTGGGCGGGGCCTCGCTGGGCCCTGGGAACCGTAGCGGCTCGCGATGGAAAATTGGCCCAAGGGTCGGGATTTGGGGGACCCAGCATTGAAAGAAAAGGCATTGTCTGACGAAGCTAGGACGATAAGAAAAAATCGGGTGAGGATAAATCGAGAATATCTAAGATTTGGCGGCGTTGGAGGATGTCTCGGGCGCCGCGGCCTTCTCAGAGCGCTCCGGAACGCTCTGAGACCGTTCCGGAACGCTCTGAAGCGCACTTGTCTTAGTCCTGACCCCGCCCGACACTGGATAGTTGGGTTCCAATCCCTAGTTCAGCCAACGAAGAAAAGTATAAACTATTGTTTTTCGCTGTCGGGGGCGCCTGCCCCAGGGCGGCTGGAAAGTTTATACCCCTACGGTGCCACCGTAAGGGTATAAACTTTCCAGCCGCCCTGGGACAGGCGCCCCCGACAGCGAGAAAGTTTATGTAATACCGTTCCTCCTCGCCCGTTAACTGGTAGGCGGGGTTCCTGGGCGCCACCAGCTTGCTCCTTCGAGGGCGAGGATCAGGAGGGACAAAAACACACAGACACAATGAATCGTCGACTCCCAGGAAAATATAGGAAAATATAGGAATTGGGCGGGAAGACAAGAACCCAGAGAATATGGCAAAATATGGGGAACCTTTTCATTTGTGTGTATTTATTTGTGTGTCTCAGGGCCCCTTCAGAGGAGAGGAAGGGAGGAGGGGCCGGGGCGGCAGACCGGGGGAGGCGGGGGGGGGGTCGGCATCGAGAGGCCTCGATGCCCATGCCCAGCGGGCCAGCGCTCCTCAGCGTCACCAGCCTGCCCCCTCGAGGGTGAGGGCGAGAAGGGAGCGAGGAGGAGGAGGAGGAGGAGGAGGAGGAGGAGGAGGAGGAGGAGGAGGGGAAGGAGGAGGAGCAGGAGGAGGAGGAGGAGGAGGAGGAGGAGGCTCGGTAGCCATTTTGGCTCAAACCATTTTGGCTCAAGACCAAACGGGGGGAAGCAACGTAGTTGCGAGGTAACCTGATTGGTCATGTTGCCCATCCGCGGCCACTCTCAAGGCCGTTTCAGGCCAGGTTTTTCGCGAGCACGATCGATCCCACGGCCAGGAAGAAGGGACCTCTTAAGCCATGGCGTCAGGATGGTACTGTGGCAAGTGCGGTTTCTTCAACTACGGGCACCGTCGCGTCTGCCGCCAAAGTGGATGTGATGGGCGCAACCCAGTTCAAGCAGTTCGGCCTGATCAGAGTTACTGGCCACAGTACTCGGTGCCAGGCGGTGTGTGGTATCAAGGGCCTCCAGCGCTTCGACAGAGTGATGGAGGCAAAGGTGGCGGCAAGTACGACAAGGGCGGCAAGAAGGGCCTTGGGGGGGGTAAGTCCCTTCAGGGCGGCAAAGGGCCAGGTGGTGGACAACCGCCACGGGCCCTCGCGCAGGAGGAGCGCGAGATGTGGATGGCCACGTCGGAGGAGCAGTTCGCCGTTCTGGGTCAAAGCTTGTCGCAGTCGCACAGAGATCAGCTCGCCCACGCTCGTGCCATGGCCAACTTCGGGCTGCAGGGCGCGCAGGCGGAGGCGCAGCAGGCAAATCTACAGATTGGGAAGTTCTCGCAGCAGGTGCTGCACCAGAAGCAGAGGCTCGCGAAGCTGGAAGAGCAGGCGCAGCAGGCGATCATGGCGGCGGTCGAGGCCAAGCAGCAGTTGCAGGAGACGGAGAAGCAGCTGCGCGAGGCCAAGCGGCGCGCGGCGGAGCACCTGGGGCCCCAGGGGCTGGCGCAGCAGGTCGCGACCGACGCGATCGAGACGCCGATCAAGGAGGCGCTGGGCAAGTTCGAGCAGGCGGTGCCGTCGGAGATTGCCCCGCAGCTGCAGGGCGCGGTCGCTGCGCTCAGGGCGGCCATGGAGGCGGTGGCGCAGCAGGCCGCGGCGGCGATGCAGGGGGAGCCGCCTGGGGGCGCCGCGGCGCCAGGCGGCGCCGGTGGCGCCGCCGCCGCGGGCGCGGGAGCGGGCGCCGCCAGCGCGGGAGGCGCTGGCGCTGGTGCCCCGCCGCCAGGCGCCCAGGGTGCCGCAGGCAGCGGCGCCGACGCGTCGCGCGACGTCAAGATGGTGGAAGCTGATGGTGGTGTGCTTCTTGACCTTCGCTCTCAGCTGGAGTCCGATGGCAAGCTCAAGGACCCCGAAGTGCGGGCCACCATCCAGAGCCTGTTCAGCAAGGCGACCCAGCGCCTTGAGGAGGAGAAAGCAGAGTTGGCAAAACGAGAAAGCCGCAGCAGGAGCCCAGGATCGAGATCTAAGTTGTCCAGTTCCTAGCCTGTGGAGTTTCTTCTCGGCCAATGTCACCAGTTGGCCGAGATGCCAGAGCTATTTGGAAAAGGAATGTGATGGAGTCACATGTTTCCTTCAGGAGTGTAATGTCGAGAAGGCCGATCTGGCCCAATCCAGCAGCACACTTTTGAAGTTTGGATGGAATGTAAGGTTAGGAGCCTGTGAGGTGACCCAGTCTGGAGGCTTGTCTTCGGGGGTAGGAGTCGCCTGTAGAGTAGGAGTAGGCATGGGTGCCCTGGAAGGTATGCCGAGACCAACCTCGAGAGTTGCCTCAGCGTGGGTAGGTGATTTGCTGAAAGGCGGCATCATAGGGGCCTCGGTCTACTTGCCGTCGGGGGAAGGTGCAGGTGCCCAAGGGCGCCAGATCCTGATGCAGCTCGGAGAGGCCCTGTGCACGTCTGGGAAGCCCTTTGTCATTGGAGGGGATTTCAATGCGACGGCAGATGAAATCAGAGCTCTCGGGATCCTTGAGAAGTTCGGAGGTGTTATTATCCAGCCTGGGAAGCCTACGTGCAGAGTGGGTAAGGAATGGAGAACGATCGATTATTTCATAGTTTCAGGAGGCCTTGTTCCAGCAGTGGTAAGATGCGATAGGATCGAAGAGACAGAGCTGTCGATACATTATCCAGTCAAGCTAGTACTTCGCACGGATTCGCATATTGCTCAGATTGCGTCTTGGCCAAACCTCGTCAGTTTCCCGATGAGCTACCAGTGGGGCCTGCACCAGCCCCGCTGCAAGCTTGGGAAGAGTTTATAGATCGGTTGGAGACCTTCGTGGCAGGCTCGGTCTTCACGGCAGAGCAGGCGAAGGCTACGCATGCTGAGTTCTGTGCGTTGGCCGAGCAGGAGCTGGCGAACACTTACCAGATTGCTCCTGCGCAGGCTGATGGGTACAAAGGAAGAGGAGCCCCTTTCAGGTTCGTTTGGGGGCCTGCTCTAACGAAAGTCGGGGGCCCCTACCCTCTGGGATCTCCAGCATCCAGGGCAATGAGGAGGTATAGCGTCAGGATGGAGGAGTTGTTGTTTCTGCTCCGCAAGGGCCGTTCAGGCCAGGATAAGCAGGTGCAGGACTTGCTGAAAAAGGCAAGGGAGCCGCCCACGATCTCGTGGGAGTGCGAGCGCTGGGTCAACTGGAGGCATAAGCATTTTTCTCTGGAAGGATACCACGCCGAGGCGCTGCACGAAGCGATCCAGGACCATGTAAAGTGCATCCCGGGTGAGGAGCAGGTTTGGAAAAAGGTCTCGGCAACACGAGCGGAGACAATGGGCCCGCTCGGCTTTGGAAAATGGCGGGGGGAAAGCTCACAAGTGGACGAAGCAGCCCAACGACCGGATCCCCGCGGACCCTGGCCTCGATGGGGGCCCTGGAGGTTTTCAGGATCAGGTGGATGCCCTGGAGGAGGAGTGGAAGCACATCTGGAGGTTCGGGGAGGTGCCCAAGGTCGCTCCCAGGATGCTCAATGAGATGCCCCTCGAGGACCCGAAGCCGCCAGTTGCGCCAGATAAAATCAGGTCCGTATTGGGGAAGTTCAAGAAGCACACAGCTGTGGGAGTTTGTAACTGGGCCCCGCACGCGCTGAAGCAGCTCTGTTCTTCTGGCTTGATTGCTCTCAGTGTCTTGATGTATCTGCGGGACACGTACACCTAGATGCCCGAGCAGATTGCGCTGCTCATTTTGCCGTTTCTGCAGAAGCCTGAAGGGGGGGGAGGCCCATCGGGATCATCTTCACCCCAGTGAGACTCCACAGTCGACTTCGGCATGAGGAGGCGGAAAGGTGGGAGGACAAGCACGCGCGCACGTACATGTATGGAGGAAAGGGTAAGAGTTGCGAGATGGCTATCTGGAAGCAGGTTTTTGTTGAACGAGGCCACTCGAGCCAGTATTTTTTCAGTGGGTGCACGCTGATTGATCTGGAAAAGGCACGCGAACGCATCACGCACGAGCAATGGACGCGAGCATGCAACAAGCACGGGTTCAGTTTGAGGAGGTTGAAGTTTCTCATGTTGGTCTACTCGGGCAAGCGGGTCATTAAAGTAGGAGAAGCGGTGTCCATGCCCTTTGAGCTGAACGCCACCATAGTGGCAGGCTGCTCGTATGCGACGACGCTGCTGAAAGTATTGCTGTTAGATGGTTTCGACGCGGCGGCCAAGAAGTGGCCGAGGATCGGTCTTTCTTTGATGGTGGGCGACACTGGTCTCCAGGCCGTTGGAGATCAGAAGCATGTGCGGACTCAACTAGTTAGGTGCACTCTGTTTGTTTGCAGGTCCCTGGAGAAGCTCGAGCTGAAAGTTTCGAGACGTAAATCGATCCTGGTGGCCTCGGACCCGAAATTAGGAAAAAAGCAGCTGACATGGGCGCTTCGGGAATTCGGGTTCAAGCATGTTCAGGCGACCACAAACCTCGGGGTCGATTTCAAGCAGAGGGCTGGAAAGGGTAGAAATAGCATTAAAAAGCGACTGGCGACGACCAGGGGCAGGGTGCGACGGTTCAGGGCTTTCAGATTCTCTCGGAAGCCGCTTCAGAATGTTTATCGAGGAGGCCCCACACCGGCGGTCATGCATGGCGTTTCGGTCGTCGGCCTCGGCGACACGCAGTTGGAGCAGCGGCGCGCCTCGACAGGTGCGGCTCTTTTCGGGCCTGCGAAGGGCCGCAGCCGCAGCTTGCAGTTCCTGTTGGCTGAGGTCGAGAAGCTCGACCCGATGTTCGCAGCAAATTCTTTGCCCCTGCAGATGTGGGTCAGAGCAGTATTTGATTCGTGGGCCACGGATGCCCAGATGAAGCACGCCTTCGACTACGCGGTCAAGGCTAGGTCTCAAGGGTGGAGGACGGTCCTAGGCCCAGCAGGAGCGGTAGTGCTCACCCTTCAGAGACTCGATTGGGAAGCTGTTTCCTGGGATGTTTGGGTTAACGCCGACGGAGTGACCATCAACATCAAAGAAGTAGGGCCTAGGGCGGTGCAAACCCTAGCGGATGAAGTGACTAGACGGTTGCTGCGTATACGTGCGGGAGTTCATTACAATGTCTCTTGGGAGCCATATGTGGAGCCTCTGCGTGCTGAACTTGCTAGGTTAAGAGGTGCTGGAGATCATCTTGGGGTCAGTCTGCTTATTGCTCAGGTTTCTGGAGGTCTCTGGACTCAGGCTGATGTTTTCAGGAAGAGGTACGTGATAGATGATCGGTGCCAGTGGTGCCTCCATAAGAAGGGTGCGGTTTTTCACCGAATATGGGGCTGTGATGGCTCCAAGCTGATCAGGAAGGACCATGACCATAGTGGAATGGGGGCCGCAGCCAGGGCCCCGACACAGCCTGACATCCTGTTCACGAGAGCCCTGGTGGACTCCAAGAGGACCAAGTTCCCCATGATCCTCCAAGGTGCTGGGTATAGGTGGGCTGTGGAGCCCGCGAGTGGAGCGCTAGGCGACACTGTCTGCATCGACGGTTCCGCATACGACGGAGCTATTCGTTGGCTTTTACGCGCTGGCTGGTCGGTCGTCTCCATCAGCCCGAGCATGCAGGTAGATGCAGTGGCCTACGGGCCTTCCCCTCTCCCAGCGCAGGACGTGCCGTCCAGTGAGGTTTACGCCTTCTACATGGCGCTGTGTCTCATGGGGCCCAGTATCCACATCATAACGGATTGTAAAATGGTCTACGGCGGGTGGAACATGGGAAGGGAGGGGGCGGCAAAATCCAACAAGTGCCACGCGGAGCTTTGGCGCCTCATCTGGGTGAGGATCGAGGACGTCGGAGTTTGGATGCCTTCGCGCATGTCGAAGGCGGCGGCGGAACGACGAGGTTATGAGCCTCATTGGTTCAGGGGAAACCAGGAGGCGGACTCCTGGGCCAAGGAAGGTGCCAAGGCGCATCCAGCAAATCATCACCTTCGTGATCGTCTGCGGCATCATCATGATCAGTTTACGTTCATCTCCAGATATATGGTGGCTGTTCTCAAGCATGTCCATCAAACTGGGTTATCCTGATGTGTCTCCATATTCTGAGCGTGCCAAAAGAGAGCCTAAGAATTCGGAGGCCCCGATTCTCGAGATAGTCCCAGATGATAAGGGTCACGTTGTCTCGCAGGCTCCTGGCGGTGGGTGGGGGTGCAGTGTCTGTGGGATGTCGCGGGCGATTTGCTCTCGGCTGGTGCAGCTGCCGTGCCCTGGGGTTCCGAGGATTGTGTCCCAGGCCCACCCCACCCACCGTCTCTGGCAGAATGGAGGTTTGACCTGGTGCGCGCGCTGTGGAGCGCATGCCCGTTCGAAGGTCAAGGAATTAAGCAAGGAGTGTTCGGGGAACCCCGACACTGATTGGAAACGGAAAGCCCTGGGGATTTTGAAGCAGGGGAAGGATCCCTCGTACTCTAAACTGGAGGCGGTTGTCCCTGTCCCCCTCAGGCGCTGAGTACCCGTAACTCTTTAAAGGGCGGGCGTCTTGTGTTATCGGGACGACCGCTGAGGAGCGCAAGAGCGCAAGAGGAGGAGGAGGAGGAGGAGGAGGAGGATGAGGAGGAGGAGGAAAGGTCAGTGAAGGATGGGGAAAGGGGGCGAGGGGGGAGCAAGTCGATTCGTCGATGGATCTTTACGCCCGTATTCCAAGGGGAGGGGTCAGCATCGTCAGGCCTATCCCCATCCCCCGTGGGCAAAGGTTCCTTGGCGCGAGGGCGAGGGCGAGGAGGGAGGAGGGGTCAGCGAGGAGGAGACGGAGGGCAAGCCCCATATGGTGTTCATGCGATCGTTCCGAGCAGTGATGACAGAGACCCCGTCGCCGGTCATTCGTTGATCGATTGGTTGATTGATCTTTACCCCGCCCCTCCAAGGGGATGGGCCAGCATCGTCAGACCCCTTTTGGGTTCCTTGGCGCCGCCAGCCTGCCCCCTCCCCTCCCCGCTTACCACCCTCCCTCGCTCGTCCTGCCTCCATCCCGCCTACCCTTATCCCTCCCTCTCCTCCCCGCCTTCTTCCTTCCGTCCTCCCCCTCCCTCCCTGCCTAAATACCCCCGCCCTCGTTTCCTCTGACCTCCCCGCACCCCCCCCGGAGGCGGAGGCGGAGGAGGAGGAAGACCAGCGCTTCGTGTCTGAGCAACGTCAAAAAAGCAAGCCCATTGCAAACTCAAGACTCATCAACGGTGATGCATTAAGCTGTCCCTCCAAGTTCCCTCTTCATAGGTCTCTACAAGGTCCATGTTCATTGAGAGTTGGAACGGTTCACCATTCCTGGGGTTTCAGCGCCGCGGGTCAACATTAGTGTTGCGTCCTGACGATCCCGAAGTCGTGCCAGAACATCGTTCCCGGGACTTCAACACCGCGAATCCTACATCGTGCCAACACACCAAAGGGACGTCAACCATGCGAACCTTTGCAACTGCTGTAACTTGTGGCGCTGAGGTGAGAACCACATGTTGGAAACTCTCAGCAAACTTTGAAGACGAATGTGCGCGGCGCTAATGCAAGAGCTACATGTTGAAGATTACCCGCCCTCCACTTGTGACAGTGTTGCAAACTTTGAAGACGAATGCGGTCGGCACCGAGGCAAGAGCCAAACGTTGAAACAACCCGCCCTCCGTCCGCGAAAATGTTGCAAGTTTTGATGACCAATGCGCGCGGCGAAAAGGCGAGAGCCACATGTCGAGAACCACCCGCCCTCCACGCGTGAAACTCTCCTAGCGCACTTTTAAGACGAATGTGCGCGGCGCTGACGCGGGAGGCAATTGTTGAAAATCACCCGCCCTCCACCCGTGCAAGTCTTGCACATTTTGAGGACGAATGTGCGCGGCGCTGAGGCGAGAGCCACATTTTGAAACGACCTGCTCTTCATCCGTGAAACATTTGCACACTTTGAGGACGAATGTGCGCGGCGCTGAGGCCAGAGCCACATGTTGAAAACCACCCGCCCTCCATCCGTGGAACTTTCGAAAACTTGTAAGACGAATGCGCGCCTCGCTGACGCGAGAGCCATCGTATGGAAACAACCCGCCGTCCAATTGTGAAACTGTTCAAGGTCGTAGTCTGTGAGGAAGTCTCTAGCGAAACGCCTCGCCCCCCCCCGCCGACACGTCTCGGGGCGCGACAGGGAGGAGTCATTTCCCAAATAGTGTTTGTATTTTCATTTCTGGTCTAAAGAATAGAGTTTGTGTGTCGGTCATGCGGTTCTGTGCCGGCCGTCGCCGCCCCGTCGCCGCCTCGTCGCCGCTCGTCGTCTGGGCCTGACACTTGGCCTGGCGGCTATGTACTCGCCGTCACCGCCCCGTCGCCGCCTTGTCGCCGCCCGTCGCCGCCGTTGGAGTGCGCCCAATATACTGCTATAAAATCGCGCCTGCGGCGCGCTTGTTGATCGCTCACAACATAGAGTGCACCACATACATTGCACATCGTAGATTGCACCACATACATTGCACATACATAATATAGTGCACAGCACCGACTGCACAGCATGTGTATATATATATAATGCGCAACATAGATTGCGTCACGTGGCTGGTACCACTTAGATCACACCACGCTGGTTGTCCCAGGAAGATTCCACAACGACTGCACGGCACACATACATATATAAACATATCTATGTATATGAATATACCGATATACAATATTTGTATGTATACGCATGTGGTGCTGAACATGTGGTACACAATATGGATTGCGACACCTACAGTGCCTCACATGAGTTGTACCACGTAGAGTGCACAACATAAATATCACACCATGTATTGCAAAATCTATACTGCACCGCGTAACTCACACCACATATCGTGTTCCACATATACTGCGCAACGCATAGTGTATATCATAGAGCTCACAACCCACCTAGTTTGCAACGCACTGATTGCACTCCATGTGCTGCCAGGAGCACACACACACACACTGTTTGAGGCCCACGCTGGCTAAGATGTATCGGGGAAGAGGATGGATCAGGAGGAGGAGGAGGAGGCTCCCCCCTTTTCTCCGGAAAGGGTAGGTCTCGCATTGGCCCGGGCGGGGCGACAGGTTCGTTGCTAGGGGCGGCGTGGCGACCGCGAAGGTACGACCGATGGCGCTGCGAGAGGGAGGAGGAGGAGGAGGAGGAGGAGGAGGAGGAGGAGAAGGTGGAGGAAGAGAAGGAGGACTCCCCCTCCGCCCCGCCCGCCTCCCCCGCAGGATCTCAGGCCGGCTCGGGCGTCCGCTTCCCCGGCGGTGAAGACGGGCTGCTTCCCGACTATCCTCAAGGTCCCCCAGCTCCCCACTGCGGCCGCCCGCGCCCGCCTGCTGCGGCCAGTCCGGGAGGGGGAGGAGGAGGAGGAGGAGGAGGAGGAGGACGACGAGGAGGACGAGGAGGAGGAGGGACAGGAGGAGGAGGAGGAGGACGACGACGAAGACAACGACGATGAATACGACGGCGAAGACGGCGACGCCGACGACGACGTCGGAGGGCGAGATGGAGGAGGACGAGGGCGGAAAACAGACGACGATGATGGCAAGATGGAGGATGAGGCGGCGGAGGAGGAGGAGCAGGACGAGGATGAGGAGAAGGAGGGCGGAGGAGGAGGAGGAGAAGGAGGGTGGAGGAGGAGGAGGAGGTGGAGGATGAAGAGGAGCGAGGAGGGGTCTTCGAGAATGGGAAGGAGGACGACCAGTGAAAACCCAAGACGCATCAACAATGTTGTAATAAACCCTCCCTCCAAGTTCCCTCTTCACAGGTTCCTACATTAACTTGTATTCATTGCGGGGAGTACCCCATCGGAAGACAACCGTTCTGGAATCCTCAATCGTGCCAAAAGCCAATTCCTGGGACTTCAGCGCCGCGCATGAACGTGACTGTTGCGTCCTGACACTTCTGAATCGCGCCAGAACACCATTCCTGGAACTTCAACACCTCAAATGACGTGACTGTTGCGTCCTGACAAGTTTTGAGTCGTGTCGTAACACCACTCCTCGCATTTGAACCTTACGAACAATCGAAATTGCCGCAATCTGGTAAGGCAGATGTGCGCGGTGCCAAGGCGTGAAACCACATTTTGCAAGGGAACCGCCCTGCTTCAGCGAAAGTGCTACAATTGTTTAAAACGAGTGTGCGCGGCGCTCAGGCGAGAGCCACATTCTGAAAAACGCCTGCCGTCCATCCGTGAAACGTTGCAAACGACGAATGGGCGCGGCTCTCGGTCGAGAGCCACATTTCCCCAATGGGGCTTGCCTAGTTGAGGGGATCTTGCCTGGTGCGAGGTTGGTGCCTCGGGGAGATCCTTTGCCCGTTCCTCGGAGATTATTCGGGTTAAGGGGTTCTTACTTGTTCCTCGGGTCACCCGGGTTCCCTGGGTTCCCAAGCAGTGCCAAGCAACGAGAAGCAATGTCAAGCACTGCGCCCATGTAATAGGAAGCTTTCCCCCAGTCGGGGTCGCGCCGGGTTTCTTTGGAAACGTTACGCCCTTCATCCGTGAAATGGCTGCGAAGACTCAAAACGAATGTGCGCGGCGCTCAGGCGAGAGCCACATTGTGAAAACCACCCGCCCTCCATCCGTAAAATGGTTGCAACATTCAAGTTTCATGATCATAAGCGGTGAGGAGGTCTCAGAGGCGAAGCGCCCGGCCCGCCCGACACGTCTGGGGATGCGACAGAGATATTTTACTTAGAAGGAGACTGATGAATGGGAGGTAGCCTTGCCAAGAACAGGAGGAGGTGGTGCTGCCAGGGGCATACTGTGGTGCTCACAGGCGTTGCGACCGAAAAATGCTGCACAGCTAAGATGCGCGCGAGCGCTGCGCTGGCGCCAGGGGCACGCTGCGGGGTCCTGCGATGTGTCGCAGTTTTCGGGCTCTCGGGGCCCTCCTCGGACCCCGTGACTCGTCAAGAGACGGCTCAGGAGAATTTGTCTTGGGGGGGGTCACTTCAGGACTCTTCTGGTTCATGCCAAGCAGGAGGAGGCGTGGTTCGTACCTCCTCCCCCTGGGTGTCACATTCGCTTCGCCGATGCACCACCAGAAGGTGCGTGATGCTTCTGGCGCGCGGTGCGTGCTCTCTACGTAGCGGCCTCAACCTACCTGGCGGTTGATGGGGAACGCAGTGCATGTATTGTTTTCTGTGTACGTATGCAGCGGAACATTTCCGACGGATTACATTGGTTGGGGCAGTTGAGGAAGCTTTCTCAGCGCTGCGTTCTTCCTATCACTAAGGGCCAGGGGGTCGAGGTTCTCATCGTCCTCATCTCCTCCCCATTCCCTCCCCCCGCCCTCGTCCGCCCTACTGCTCCGTCTTCTCTTTCCTCGCTACTTCCTCAGCCTCAGTCGCCTCAGTCGTCGTCTGCCCTCCCTTAAAGAAGAACAAGCGCAATCAACATAAATGTTTGGCGCTCCGCGCGTACTTCTTGGATCCGCGTTGGATCCGGCGCCGCCCCTGGCACGCTCCGCGCGCCAGGGAGCGGGGTTCCAGCGCAGATCCACGAAATCCGCGCGGAGCGCCAAAAGTTCATGTTTTTGCAGTTTTTTGCCCTGCTATGGGCCCCGCGTTGCAGGACCCTTCCACGCCAACCGCCTGCTCCCCCCGGGCCTCCGTCATCCGCACCCCCCGCCTCTTCGGCGAGGACCATCGAGAAGCATCCTGGATCACCGCGGTGTAATAAACAAACAATGAAGCAAGCAAACAAACAAACAACAACACCAACAACACCAACAGCAGCAACAACAACAACCACAACCACAAGCAACACCAGCAATAACAGCAACAACAACACCACTTATATCAACAACAACACTGCTCAGTTCACACTCATGCGCAATGTTTCCACACGAAGCATGCGACCACCATCATAACCGTCCACGTAATGGGGGACTCTTGTTCTATAGCGGGGTCCGTTATTTCCATTCCCAGGTCTCCCGCCCAATGAGGTCTTGCAAACACCTCTTCCGAGGAATTTCAACATATCCCGCCTCGAAGACACATGCCCGCGCCTTGCTGCGCCGATGCGAGTTCGCCAGTGGCACCCCAGCGAAGGGTAAAGCACATGGAAGTATCGAACGACAGGATTACCTTGGTGGGGATGGGGGCTGTCGGCGGTGAGGCAAGGACCTGGCCCTGAATAGAAAGGGAGGAAGTCTCGAGCAGGGCTGCTGTTGTTGTTGGGAGCGGCGCCAATGCTGAAGAGAGTAGGGCGCTATTCCAGCGTAAAGCAAAACGAAGTCTCGAGCGGGAACGCTGGTTTTGTTGGGACGGCGGCTTTCGGCGGCGATGAGGAACACCGCCTTGCGTAAGAAAGGAGGAAGCATCGAGCGGGAGCCGTGGTTTTTTTCGGGACTGGGGCTGTCGGTGGCGAGGAACAGTACCGTCCTGAGGAAAAAGAAATGAAGCCTCGAGCGGGAGCGTAGGTGTTGCTGGGAGCGGCGCCAATTCAGAAGAGAGTCGGGCGCCAGTCCAGCGTAAAACGGAAGGAAGTCTCGGGCGGGAGCGCTGGTTTTGTCCGGGCGGCGGTTTTCGGCGGCGAGGAGGAACTTGGCCTTGAGTATGAAGGGAGGAACATCGAGCGGGAGCGCTGGTTTTGCTAGGACGGCGGCTTTCGGCGGCGAGGAACAGCACCGTCTTCAGGAAGAAGGGAGGAAGCCTCGAGCGGAAGCGTTGTTCTTGCTGGGAGCGGCGCCAATTCAAAAGAGAGTCGGGCGCCAGTGAAGGAAGTCTCGGGCGGGAGCGCTGGTTTTGTCGGGGCGGCGGTTTTCGGCGGCGAGGGGGAGCACCGCCTTGAGTAAAAAAGAGAGGAAGCCTCGAGCGGGAGCGCTGTTTTTGCTGGTGGCGGCGCCGATGACAAAAAGACTAGCGCGCCAGTCCAAGGTAAAACGGGAGGATGTCTCGAGCGGGAGCCCTGGTTTTGCTAGAACGGCAGCTTTCGGCGGCGAGCAAAAACACCAGCCCTGAGCAAAAAAGGAGGAAGTGTCGAGTGGGAGGGTTGTTGTTGTTTGGGGGCCGGTTTGGGCGGTCCCCCAAACCGCTCGAGCGTGAGCCTCATTTTCAATGAACATGTAGCCGGCGCCTCGGCGAGAGCGCCAGGGCGAATTTAAGGTTCCAACAATAATAGGTGCTTAGTGATGAACATTCATCAACAACAACAGCAGCAGCAGCAACACCAACAAGAACCACAACAACAGCAAACAAGACAAAATAACGAAACACGCACGGGGAATGGACGTCCGAGCGACGGCGAGCCTCTGGAGGCCGACGGCACTCTGCCTGAGCCCCCCGCCAGAGACAGGCCAGCAGCAGCCGCCACCGCGCGGCAGGGGGGGAGGGAGGAAACAGGCACGCGGCAGCAAAGACAACAGCAGCAGCAGCAGCGGCAGCAGCAGCACGGCAAAGGAGGGGGGCAGGCAGCAGGAGGCAGCAAGTGTGTATGCTGCAGGGGAAGCAGCAGGCAGAAGAGGCAGCAGGCAGCAGCAGGCAGCAGAGGCAGCACTGCATGGGAGGGAAGCAGGGGCAGCAGCACGGTAAAGGAGAGGCAGCAGCACGGCAGCAGAGGCAGCAACACGGCAAAGGAGAGGGGGCAGGGAGACGGCAGGGGGGGGGGCAAGAGGGGGGAGAAACCAACAGCAGAGGGGCCGAGGGGGGGGAGCAGGCAGGAAGGCCTGGAGGAGAAGCAGCCCAATAGACCCTGGGGCGGCGGGATGGGGATGCGTGAGGTGACGCCGCCAGCGATGTGCGTGAATAATCGGCATTCTCTGGTGGACCTAAGAGGAGGTCCAGCGAAAAGGGGGTGGTGCAATAGACTTGGTGCAGTGGACTTGTGGGGTTGCAGTAGGTTTTGGGCGTGCAACACATTCCTGTGCGCAACTGCATTGCAGGGTTTTCGCGTGCAAGACATCTGTTGCGCATCTATTGCACCACCCCTTTTCAGCTGGCCCCCCTTTGGAGAAGCAGCGCACACGGCCGCTGGCGCCCGGGGACACGCAGGAGCGGAGGCCCAACATGACCCTCGCAGCGGAGCACATCGCCTCGTTTAGGCGCCGAGCTGCAGCAGCCCCAACCATTACCGTAGCACGCAAGTGCTTCGCCTCCATGGAGCGTCGCCGGTAGGATCCGTTTCCCCAATTCCGCAGTGAGCTAAGGGAGACCGAGACCTGAATTCGCAATCGATGTCGCCATGTCCTCCGTCTGCGAGACGATCATGGCGCAAGTGCGGTCCAGCAGCGGCTGGAATGTAAGGTGTTGGTCGACCACGGCACCCAGCACATTCTTTGTGGCACAGCCCACC